GCATTTGAGCTCCTGAGGATGAGTGATGGGATCAAGCACAGGGCCTTGAGTATGCTAGTAAGCACTCTGCCTAGGCCACAACCCCATCCCAGGGTTTCCTTTGACACCCGATGTGGGGCAGTGGCAAATCCATCTGGTGTGTCCCTGGGTGATAGGCCTTGATCCAGAGCGGCATAAACTAGGACAGAAACTGGGTTCCCTCAACGCCCAGCAAGTGCACTCTGACCCTAAGCCTTCCGGAATAGACAGCAAACCCTCAGGAAGAACTGAGCCCTTGCTCTCCTCCATGTGCCTGACACTCTAGGTCTCAGTGGCCTCCCTCCCACAAGCAGAGCTGTCATTATAGCCTGGATGGGTGTCCTCCGAGCTTAGTCTCCCCAGTGGCACATGAGGAGGACAGATGTAAGTTTCACAGCTCAGTCTGTTGGCCACAGCCTTGACAGTTTGTACTTTGCTGGTGTCAAGGTATCTCTGGGGTCTTGTTGGACAGCCACTGGGGACCACATTGGCAAATGAGGGAGACGTCTTCTCAGGTTTCCTGGTCAGAGACCACCTAACCACCAGGCTTCCTGTGACCCAGTTGCCTATTGGTTTCAAGTGGATAGGGTTAGTAACTGGAAGCTCCAGGAATCTCTGCCGTCTGGAGGTAGCAGTTTCCTTCCTATTGTTTCCTAGCACCCCCCCCACCCCCTCATTTCCTCTGTCCTACCGTTCCCTAGCCCCTTGGGGTCTGCCCACCTGCCACTGGCCTTGGCTTCCCCGGGCTGACTACAGTATGAACTGGAGTCCTTTGTGCGGTCGGTCAGTTGAGATTGGTATGGCCTTAACTGTCACCACAGACATGGAGTTTCTTGAGGTCTTGACCGAGGGGCTGAATAGGGTCCTCCTGGTCAGGGGTGGTGGCCGGGAAGTCATCACCATCTACTCCTAACACCTGTAGCCCGGACACACCTGGACGGGGTCAGGACTGTGTAGCAGCCGACGCCAGGCTTGGGCCCTCCGGCATGCCGATGGCTGATGGCCGCTGCCCTGGCACTGCCCTCCCAGATGCTGCAGTGATTTTGGTCACACATGGCTTCTCACAGACATAACACCCTAGGCTTCCTCCAAGCAGAAGATGCTCCAGGGGAGCGCCTAGAGCTGATCTGACAGGAATGGCCCCTTGCATCATTGTGGGCAATGGTAGGTATACCCAGGGACTCTGGGGTCAGCTCTTTCCAGCACAGGCAGGGCCTCACCTCCAGACACTAGGATCTTTCCTGTGGACGACTGTCCTGTATTTTATGGCAGTTACATTTCCTGTCTACCCTGTCCAGAACACATGAACAAGCACACAGTTCCTTGGGCTAGAATGCCAGTGGGCTGTTCCCCACGGGCGCCTGCCTTCCTTGCTCATTTGCGTAGCCTTGCTGTGCTTTCTGTACAGTAAGCAAGCTGGGCACTGTCCACGCTGACCTCCTCACTCCTGTCCACACTCCTCAGGCACGGCTCAGGGCACCACTGGGAAGTGAGCTGGTGTTTACAGGGTAGGAGTGGGTCATCCTTTGGGTGGGTGGTGCCTGCCAGCTGTGTTCCCATCTGAGTTAATGCCCTAGGAGCGCCTGCAGAGAGAGAACTTTGGTTCTGCAGAGTCAGGGCTACCTGCAGCCAGTCTGCTTTTTCTTCTCATGGGAACCCAGACACTTTACTTCATAAGCACTGAGCTGGGAACCTCAAGCAGGTGACCACAGAGAGCCACAGTGTGAAAACCAAACAGCAGGAACACTGGGAGTTCTGCGCACAGTCCATGACAACAGGAGCCTTCCAGAGTGTGAACCATGATGTGGCTCAGCATACCGCTTTGCACATATGACATGCCGTCCCATCCCCCACCCTCCTGGGAGAAGAACAAGCCCCAGCCCAGCACCCTCAGCATCAGCAGCCATGGCCCTGGGTGTTTCTGGCTGAGTCTCTTGTCCCCTGCCATGGACAACCTTACTTAGCTGAGGCCACAGACACCTCTGTACTTTTCAAGAACCTGACAGATGATTTGCACTTTACCCTTGTGCACTCTGCTCTGCAGGTCATGGTCTGTTCAAAGGCTGTGGGCAACAGCAGCGATCCGTTCCTCATGTTCTGTATGATGTATTTATTTATTTAATCCTCCCTGGGGAAGCTTGATAGAGATAGCTTCTGTGTGGATGCCCCATGCTGCCAGGCCCTGGGCCATCTCTGGCTTCCTCCAAGAGAATCAATCCTGTCCATATTCAGGAAGTTCCCGTTGGGGTAGAGGCCAAGTTTGCACCTATAACGGGTTCCTCAGACGCTGTTAGGCAGCCAGAGGTCAGCTTGCCAGAGTAACTGCTGCCCAGCATGTATCCCCATCAGCATAGTGGTTTCCACTCCTGCTCTGACTTTGGTTCAGACTCCTGAGCAGAGCAAGTGGGGCACCTCTGCCAGCCATTAGGAATGCCCTAGTTGGTAGGCCTTTCCAGGTTCTGGGTCACTGCTCACAAGAGCCCCTGTCAAGAGTGTTGGCCTCCTTTCTCTTGCAAACTCTGTGTTCCTGGTAACTGTGGCCATTCAAATCAGTCTCATGTTTTCCTTTTATAGGCTTTTGTCTTTGTATGAATTTGTTAGTAGAAGAGTAAAATTCTATGAAATATAACTGTTTGAAGAACCTCGTGTGTCTTACTTACCATAAAAACCAGTGACGGAGAAGATGCACTTACTCAGTCCTTCCCAGAGCTTCTCGGAGAGGTCCACTGCAGGGCTGACTCAGGGCTAGGGTTGACCCTCCTGCATCGGAGAAGTACTACAAAAATACTAAGAGGAACTCTCCTGCCAGCTCGTTAGGTTTGATAACTGCAAATTCAATACTATCATTGTAGGGACTCAAGGCAGAATTTATCTAAGGATGAAGGTCCCAGAATCATCACAGTACACAAGTGGGGCTATCATCCAGAAAATGGGGAATGGGTAAGAGTGATGAGTCATTGGGATACAGAACTGTGCAGCCATGGGAATGGCATTGGGGCTCCCAAAATTGTTAAGTACGTTATGTCTGTGACCCAGGACATATCCCCATTAACCTGCTCCCTAGCATTCATCATGGCATTATTCATACCCAGATGTCCATGCAGTGGAACAGTTTGATCACAGACACATGTGGCAGCCGCACAAACCTGGGAGACCTGCTCAGAGAGCAGCTGACGCTCAGCTCAGCCTGGGCTGTGCTGGTTCAGACGGTGAAGGCAATGGATGCCAAAGATGTGGCCTCTTTAGATAGTACTAAAGCCAGCTGAGGATGGCAGGGACCACTTTCTGCTTTCAGAACTTGCCTTGGTAGCAGGTAGGAGCAGAGGGGCTGTGAGCCCAGGTCTGAGCCCTGAAGAGACAGAGCTACCCTAAAGGTTTAGAGGAACAAGGGCCCTACATTTGCCTGAATTTGCAAGGAAAGGAAGGAAGAGACCTTCATGTGTGAACAGAGCACATGGCCAGCTCAGGGCAGTGAAGTCCAGCTCACACTTGAAAGGGCATCTGACTAGAACCCAGAGTCGGAAGTTCGTCCTGAAAGTGACGGGGTGCCTGCTGAGATGGGCGTCTTGGCGACACCTTTGTTCCCCTGACGGTTTTTATTTGTCAATGTACAAATACCAGGTTGTTCAGTTCTAAGAGCACACAGCAGCCACAGCCTCCACTTACACAGCCAAGGCCTTTTGTTTCCCTCACAATAGCCACCCTTTTCTGTTGCTAGGTACTACCAACTCCCATGGAGACACCTTCCTGGCGCCCAGCGCAGAGGAGGCTAAGCATTGCAGCTTCTGGCTGTCATGCCTCTGTCTCCACTAGCAACATTGCAGTTTGACTTATAGGCGGTCGTGGAGGCCTGAGTCAACCCAGGCCAAGTTTCTGCACCTCAGCAGACCCACTGTCCTCATCTGCGTGTGCAGACACTAGTGACCACGTCCACAGTGGCTAACTGTTGGAGAACACAAGTGATTGGGCGGGGGAGGGGGAGGCAGTCTCCCTGTATAGTCCAGGTTGGTCTTGAACTATCGCTCTTGATGGAGCCTCCCACAAGCGTGCACCGCCACATCTAACTAAATGATCTGGTTTTTTGTTTTTGTTTCATTTTGTTCACAAATGCTTTCCCATCTCTTTAAGCCTCATACATGCAGCACTGGCACCATGGATCCTGCTGCTAAGGCGTGGTCCCTCAGCTTGCTGGAGTGGTGCTGACTCCTCTGCTTAACGTTCACTTAGTGGCAGGTGCTCGGCTCCCTCCACGTGCTTGTTAGGACTCCCACCTGCCCTGAATTTCTAAAGGATGAAGCCAAAGCCCAGACCTGGCAGAATCTCCCCTCTTCCTAGGTACTCAGCTGAACCATGGACCAAGGTGTCTTTAGGGATAGCCTGTGTGATTTCTCTCAGCCTGAAAGGACCTCTTAATGCTGCATACTGAGAAACAAGCTAGGTGGCCATGATGATTCCTACCCAATCCCACTGCTGTGGTGCGGGCAATGGAGCCGCAAATGTGTACCATCTCTACATCCATGACATAGGGACTTTAGTCATATTGTAAGGAAAGTCATTTTTATATTCAGGAGCATGTATGTGATTTCTAGCTGTGAAGTGACCAGCAACAGCCTTCTGTGGGCTATTAATCCCCAGGTCTCCCTATGCATGTGGGACCAGCTCACAGGAGACATTACACTCAGATCTTCAGGAATTACGTAGAATTTAGTGTTTAAGGAGAGACGATAAGGTGTTGCTTCTCTGTTGAATATGAATGTTTGCATAAGCCATGGCCATGTGGCTGATATGGTGCCCAGTGTCTGCCAGCATGAGGTAAATCCTGGGTTTAGAGTTCTGGTTTTTCTTAGACCTTAGTAAGAATTACTATAGAGTTGTGTATATCAACCAACACTAGCCAAGATGATTCTACATCACTCACCCTTCACAATATGTACCTGTCATCTCCACTGGCAGCTACAAGGTATAGGTAGACTGACCACAGCTCTCAGAAAAGTCTGTTTTAATACAAGGTATGGCATGTTACAGAATGCACAATTTCTTAAGCTAAGAAGCCATGATGCTACCTGCACAAACTCACAAGAGGTAAATTCCCCTTGCAGTGTCCTGTTCTGGTGGAGCCAAAAGACCATGGCTTATTGAGGTTCCACACCCTTGCAGCCCTTGTAGAAGGGACACATAAGTGTCACTTGGCTATGATACAAGAATGAGCGCAGTCTAGGTGAGGGCCTCCAGCATGGTACCTGATCCATCCCCTCCCAACCTGTCTGGGTCTTATCCACATCCACCTAGGATGCTGGAAGCTCTGGAGACCAAGCCTTGAGCTGCCCGCTGAACATCACCCTGCCCTTCTGCTCATTCATGCCCCCTCCACATTTGCTGATACTCTGACCTCTTTGTTTTGCTTTGTGTGACATGTTGGAAACTAAGGACATGGTACGCTGAAGAAGAACCACTTCCCAAGCCCAACCCGCTGACTACAATGAATAAACCTCACAGAAAGCTTTACCATTTCCATTCACTCCTGGTCTTGTGCCACGAACAACTGGGGCACCCAAAGGTCAGTGACCACAAGGATACGAAGAATGTCTAGGCACAGTCCCTTGAACATCCTAGGACCACACTGCATCAAATGTAAGAGCAGATGTTTTTCTGCCCTCGTGTATGGGCTTTCTGGATCACACAGGAGCATTTGTTACTGAGAATCATCAGCTGCATCAAATGTGCTGGTATCCAAATGGCATGGAGAAGGAAGGCTTTGTCCATGAATATCCAGCCTGGTGCCATCTCCCTGGTGTCCACTTGACATCTGCAGCTGGGTGTTGGATCGGGGAATGCTGTACTCTCTACTGGGCACATGCCAGCACCTGCTCTGTGTCCCTGAGGGCATGTGGGCAGAGTACTTATTTGGGTGCTAGGATGGGTGGAAGTGGTGGTGATGGTGGTGGTGGTGGTGCTCATGGTGGTGATGGTGTTCATGCCTCTGGATCACAGGCACCATGTAGCCCTCGGGCCCTAGCATGGGAGGCAGGTCCCGTACCACTTCATGCTCCACCATGGTAGGCTGGCCATGTCCCTTGAGTGGTGAGTGGCCTTCTCTGCCCTTCTGCCGGTACCGCTTGTGACCATAGGGCTGTGGTGGGGGCTGTGGTGGGGGCTGCGGAAGGTGGTGGCCATCCTGAGCACCCTGGGGCAGCGGGATGGCCTGCAGGCAATAGTTGAGCGTTTTCCCTGGTTTGCTGCTGCCTGGTGCCCCAAGAGGTTTTCCTGGGCCCTTGGGAGACCTGAGGAACTGCTTCTCCTGCCCCTTGATCCGAGGCTGCGCAGCCAGGGCCCGGACAGCAGGCTCATTAGTTGGTACGACATGGTCAGCCAGGACCTGGGACCTGCGGTGGTGTATAGCATAGGCGTCGGACTCCTGTGATCGGGACCTGCTTGGAATGTGTGTGGCCCTGCCATGATGTTCTTGCCTGGCCTGTTCAGGTGGTGACCCTGGGGACAAGACAGAGTGGTGGCCCACAGTAAGGCTTGGGACACATGTCATCTCTGCACTATGGGCTTGAACAGAGGTGACCTGCAGGCTGGGTCACAGCTCAGATGGCCAAATGCCCCAAGCTGGGCAGGGAGAAGAGGTCACGGCTCAGTTCCAGATAGATCTTACATCCCAGAAGGGAGTCAGCCCCTCATTAAGGACCCTGGGTGTCACTATGTCACTCCTTAAAGGGGCTTGGCCACCCTGGCAACTTAGTGCTTGGCTCAGCTGGCCCTTCATCCCTGTGGTGGAGGTCCGATTAGTAGAAATTCTCTACTAGCATAGTCAGAGCCCTGTCCAGGACACGAGGGGGCATCAGAAAGTTGTGTCATATTAAGGGACACTCCAGTGAAGGACCAGAATTAATTCATTAATATATCCCCTGTCCCTCTCTCCACCACACACAGAGAAAGAGGGAGGGAGGGAGGGAGGGAGGGAGGGAGGGAGGGAGGGAGGGAGGGAGGGAGGGAGATAGAGAATGAATCAGACTTTCAAAATAACCTGGTAGCAGTGGCCTCAGTACGTGGGGCCAGTTGTGGTCAAACTCCCCACTAAACTCTTTGGGTCCCCATCTATCTCTTCAGATGCCCCCATCATTAGAGGATTGAAGCTCTAGTATCTAGCACACAGGGCCAGCCCTTCCTGGGTGAAGGTCAACTTCAGCCAGGGACCTCTAGCTCAGGTTGTCTGGAACAGACTGGAGGGACTGTTCGGAGACACTGTCACAAGGTTCAAATGGCCTGAGTGAACCCCCCAAGGGATGCCTGGTAGAAGTGGGGTGCTAGTGGGGGACTTGGCCTCCAGCTTTCAGAGTACCAGCCAGGATGCAGTTCATGAATCTCTAAAGGAACATTCAGTAGAGCAGGACAGGTATCTACAATGCTGGCTGACCACCTCTTCTAGCTAATATGCCAGCTCCCCCAGCTGGAAGGCTCCTGAACCTAAATGCAGTAGTTTTATATTTTTCCCTAAGCCAGAGCATGTCTCAAACACATACCTGGATGTTTAACCTCCTTGCTTTCCAGGCCCCTGCCAGTGGCAGGAGGGTAAGATGTGCATCCACATCTAGGCAAAGGATGATGGGATGTCCAAATGAGGTATGGACACCTGGGACCCAACACCATCGGAATTCCAGAGCCCCCTGCCTACCTGCACCTTTAGGGAGGAATCTACGCCCAGAGGGTAGATACAAGGTGGGGGTCCTCCAGTACCTACCAGGACCAAACTTAGATGTGTAGTTTTCGATGCCAGCAAGGTCTAGGTAGTGGTTTCTGCGCTCTGTGTTCTCATCCACACAGTAGGGTACTCGCACAGAGCAGGTCTGGGAATCAGCATTGGGCTTCCTGTGTGCAGCAGAGAGGATAGGACTGACCATGTACTCATGGCCAGAGCTTCAAACATCCTATGACAGGGGTGCCTGCAGAGGTGGATGGTTGTCTAGGAGCCCTAAGTGGGAACTTGAACTAGTACCCACTGTCTAGAGAAGGCAGAAGGGAGGCAGTTGGGCATTGTTGTATGTTGTCCAGAGAATTAAGGTCCACAGCTCATTACGGCAGCCTACCAGGACCCAGGATCCCATCACAGGTCTCACAAGGCTTGAGTGGCCCTAAACATCGGGGTGTTCTCTGGTCACCTAACTGGGGCCACAGTGGCCCCTGCTCCCTTCTTTTGCATAGGCATGGTGCTCAGCCTCACTCAGGTACCATCACCCTTCACAGCACACAGGACCTACCTATTTCAGCACTCCTCCTGACAAGGAATTGGGGAGGCCTGCAGGATGCAACCCCCTGGCCCCATACCTCACCTGCTGTAGGCAGACAGCCTTCGGTCAGCCACTCGGGGGTCCTCTGTGAGCTCACTCTCTGTTCTGCCACGAGTGGACTCCCGGTCTGAAAGGAAGGTGTGACACACTCTCATGCCTCACTGTGCAGTTCACTCATCCCCTGCTCACCTGCTTGTCCGTGCTTCCACCCACGCATTCTGCCTGTCCTTCACCCATGCATTCTTCACGTCTCATGAATCCATCCACCCACTCATTCTGTGTTGTTGTCATTGAGTTGTTTTTTTGAGACAGAGTCATGCTGTAACCAATGCTGGCCTTGAACTTCTAACCCTGTTGCACCCCTAGTGCTTGGATTGGAGGCCTACACCACAATGCCCTTTGTTAATGAATTACTTTTCTTGCTCATCCATCCATCCACTCACTACGCAAAGTTTTGTCCCCTGCCAGGTACCGGGTCCTGTTTGGGACATTGTAGAAACAGAATCTTTGACTGAAAGTGGTTGGGGGACATGAACAATGCTGATATCCAGGGGTCAATGGTAGAGAGATAAGTGCTACAGAGAAGAGCAAGGATGAAACATAAATTAGGTGGCTGTGGAAGTGGCCTGTCTTAGGGGTCGTGCTCATGGGGATGGCACCATTTGAAGAGGAAGGCTCCTGGCAGAGACCCCTTACCTTGGCCAGGGGGAGGACATTCCTTCCTCTTGCTGGAGGGCTCAGGGCTGACAGTTAGCTTCACTCGGAGGGTCTTGCTGCTGCCCGAGGAGTGATTGACAGAGGCATCAACAACCTCATAGATGGTGTGCATCAGACTGGACATGTCCTGGGACCAACATGACAGACATTTCTCCCTTCTTTTCCAAGCATGTATTCATCCCCTAGCCACAGCAGGCACCTTGGGTCCACTTACTCCCCATCAGAGACTGCTGTATCTTATGCCCAGAATTGCCCCAGGATGTCATGCATGGCTTGAAGGTGGCCCTGCTGTCTGTCCTTAAGCCACATCTCTTACATTCAAACATTAGGTCAATGAGCAGGTGAACTTTTCAGCGTCCGTGTCACATGGCCCATGCAGATGCCTTCTCTGCACTCCAAGGACCCAGGCTGCTCTGGGAGGGACTCTTGTCCCAGGCTTGGCCTAGGGGACATCACAGCTATAGGGAAAGGCCACACTGGACTTGATGGGGAGATGTGTAGACTTCCAGAGTAAGGAGACACTGATACTAGCTAGCTGAGGATGTGTAAGTGGGTCCCCACTCTGCCTCCCCTTCTATCTCAGGAAAGTTCTAGTCTCTTCCTTCTCTCCAGTAAAGGCTCGCTCTGTCTCTCTGTCTGAGGACCCAGACATCTGTCCATCTGTCTACTGAATCAGACTGGTTCCAGATCTCAAGAGGCCACACCCCTGACCTGAGCCCCCATCCTATGGGTGGTCTGACGCATGTGGGCACATTACCTCTCTGGTGACTTTCCCACTGTTGTCAAAGTCATACAGTGTGAAAGTCCACTCTTGGCGGTTGTCTTCTTCCACTGAGACATCACACTGGAGGGCCTGTAGGCGGTGTGCAGGGATGGGAGGCAAGGAAGAGTCATGTGGGACTGGGAAGGCCCCAGCTGTAGTTCTTTTTCGTTTCCAGCCAGGACGAGGAAGCTCAAGGGCAGTTGGCTGCAACCCTCAGTCCCTGTCCTTGCCCACCTCCCCTTACCCCCTCCTAATGATGTACTGACACCATGCCTCATGACTCAGTTTCCCCCCTGTGGCATCTGTCCCTGTGCATGCAAATACTCAGGATCACTTTGAGTAAGAGGAATTAGAACCAAGTGTTCTTGCTGCTCCCCTGCCTGTGGGGTAGGAGACCCTGCTGTTGTTCCCTGTCCAGTAGTGCTGGATACCCATTCCATATGGAGACCCATCTGCCCAGCATGGCCAAGTTCACAGCCATACCATGCAACCCACCAGAGCAGCACATTATAGTCCTGCTTTAAGATCTCAGGGAGGTTGAGGAAACCACAGGGCTGGCATGGTCATGGTCCCCATTTAGGGCCACCACTATTCATCCCGGGTCCTAGGGACCCACTCATGGAGGTGTGCAGGGAAAAGGACTTACATCAATGTTCAAATGCTTCTTGCTGGCTCTTAGTGGGCCCTCGTGGCCTGCTGCCCTCTCCCCGTCGTCCATGCTGAAGAGCTGCCCCTGACCCTCATGGCCCTCAGACTTCTCAGGGGGCAGCACAACTGTGGGGACAAAAGGAGGTGAGGCAAGGCCCGTCCCATGTGAGCAGCATGAGGACAGGGGAAATGGGTTGGCTGTCTCGGATCTCTTCTGTGCTGCATGGTACTGAGCTAAGAATGCTCCTGTAGAATAGAGAGAGGCCTCACCTGGGTTAGCCTCAACCTGATGGCTCCCAATGAGCAATGTCTCCTCTAGGCTGACACTGTACAGAGGGGGTGGGAGAAGGCCCTTCAAGATCATAACAGAGTGGTCTCCACTCCAGAGTCCTCCAGGGGAGTGAGTTCCTGTATCACCAGGCTTTTCTCCTCATTCTCATGGTCATTTTCTAACACCTTCAATCCAGAACCCACTGACAACGACACGCGGGCTATCTGATGGCCAAAGTCTTGTCTACCCTGACTCCCTATATGGATGGATAAGAAGCCCTGTTCTGGATTCACATATCCTCTAGGTCTCAAGCTGTGTCCTCAGGAAAGGGGCCCAGGGCCATTGGTCAGGCGTCTGTCCAGGTATGAGCTAAGAGGATAACCAGTGCCTGACTTCCAGCAGGCAGCACTGGGAGCCCCTCTGGGCTTCAGCAGATGTCTGAAGGCCAGTCCTTTGCACCTACTAGTATCCTGTAAGAACTTACGACATCTCTGGGTGGGGCTGACTCCACCAAAGATGCATGCATGTGAGACTCAGGTGGGGTTCAAGTCACAGGTGGCATGTTTAGGACTGCTCCACCACTCCACACTGTTGCAATAAGTAGCCATGATGTTAGCTCAGAATTCAAGAGCACCAGTCCATGAAGCCCAGCCTCTCTGCTCAGTCCCAGAACTACAAACACAAAATGAACAAGTGTGTGGGGACACTGTGGCTCAACATTTTGCTTCTCCCACTGACTGATCCAAGCTGCCTGCTTGGTACAGAATCACAGATGATTGAGGCTGCTGCTTACTCAAAAACTAACTGCTCTTCAGACTAGGACCCAACTGACCCTGACTCTTATATGCCAGTGTTGAGGGTTCTGTGGTATGAGCCCTCAAGTCAGGGTGAAGTCTGGGAACATTTGCTAGAGCTGGACTCACCTTCTAGGGAGCCCTTGTCTTCCCAGAAAGGCCCCTCCTTAGGGTCCCCATTGGGCAGCTCCTGCAAAAGAAGAGCCACGTATAACCATGAGGCTCAGCGGAGCAGAGGAAGACAACAGATAGGAGCTCTGTGAGGCTGAGACCTTGAATAGACACCAGCATCAGACCTTGAGAGGCCCCTCAATCTGTGGGCCCACATACACCATCCCTTCCAGCTTTATACAGCAGAATGTACAAGGACCATGTGCTGGAGTCATTTCCAGAACTGGGCCTCACTGCCTACACAGCAAAGCCAGCTGTCCAAAGTGAGACTTGGGATCTCCCTGCAGCTCAGCCCTAACACTGCCAACCCACAAGTATAAGAAGCCTTGAGACCAAGAACCCTGCCTGGCACTATTCCTGGCCTAGCTTGTAGTACTTTCCACTAAAGCTGCCCCCATGGTACCCATGGGATGAACTCAGGTTGGCATTCACTGGAGTTGCAGAGGGGCCACTGTCTCCCCCAGGGATGGCTGCCAAGAAACACCCTCGGCCCACAGCTGATCTCAAGACCAGTTATGGAAAAATGGGAAGGACTTCAAACACATCCAGGCGATGTTTAAGCCAAGAAACTGCACAACAAAAGCTCGCATGGTTCTTGTAAATAATCCACAGAAGCAAAGGCTACAAGAAAGGAAATATAAATGTGCCATGGAGGCCATCTGCAATCAAAGGGTTCTTCGTGGTGGGGGGAACTCGCAGCCCCCAGCCCAGCACTCAGGGCCCCCAGGAGCATTTCCCGCCAGTTTCCTGGCATTTCTGTTTGACTCCAGGTGGCTTCAAAGCTTTGAGAGGCCTCGAGTAGATGGGAAGCTGAGCTAAGACCCATCCATCTGGCCAGCTAGCAATGTCCCTAGGGATAACATGGGTCAAAGGATGCCTTTGGTTTGTAGCTGGAGGCAAGAGAAAGACAAAGTTCCTCAATTTTATATCTCATTCAGAAAACTGAGTATCCCATGTACAGTTTGGCACATTCTTACCCTGTCAGTGACCACAGGAACCAAGAAATACCCCCCACCCCATTCCTCACTGTGGAGAATATGGGATGCCTGGCAGGCTTCCCAGCACCACCTTGTAGGGTCATGTCCATCTGCAGGATACAAGGATACAGGTCTCGATCAAATCCAGAGCGTGAAATGACAGCATATGTAAAAACCTGATGCCTTTGTGATAGAGTGGGAAAAGCATTCTGTCTGTAGCAGCAAACAAGGAAATAACCATGAAAAGGCCCACGCCTGAATGGACAGACTGACTGTTCTGCAGAATGCATGGAAGAGGAATACCAGAAACACTCAGGTTCAAGGGACAGAGATGGGAGTACAGCAGTATTCTGGGTTCTAGCTGTGCGAGGTTGGTGAGGACAAACCCAGTGTTGGTCTCCTGAAAGGAGAAGCCAGGATAGGTCCTTAGGACTACCCTGGAGTGCAGCAGAGGGAAGAGGGAGGAGCTCCTGTCTAGGTTTTTTTGGGCTGTGCACCAGGAGACCAAAATGGTCAAGGCTGAATGACTAGGGCCAGGAAATAGAGGAGACCCCTGCTCATATCTACATCTCATAAATACCCCCAAAGTCTTCCTCTTTCTGGACCTCCCAACTCATGGGAACCATTAGGGATAGGCTGCCTATATGGCTTGTTCTTAGGTTGTCATTTAAGGGGTTACACTGGAGATCATATTGTTGAGAAAACCCCATAATTATTAAAAGTCCTCTTTCTAGCTGCAGGTGGTAGCATGCACCCTTACTCCCAGCATTTGGGAGACAGAGAGGCAGGGGATCTCTGTGAGTTTGAGGCCAACCTGTCCTATTCAGCAAGTTTCAGGACAGCCAGGACTACAGAGTGAGACCCTTTCTCAAAAAGGAGGAAGAAGTAGGAGTACTCATTAATTCACTGATCAAATAACCCACAGATTCAAGGCATAAAAGATCTGATTTTACTGAAGTGCTAGGAGTTTGTCCTGGTCCTGTGAAACTCTTTTATGTCTACAATGCACAGTGCCGTGTCCTTCTGAGACTGGAGGCCTGAGCCTAGAGTTGTCCCAGGTGAACATAAGATGAAATCTACTCATTTCTAAAAGCCCGATTTGGAACTTTTTTTTCCTTTGAAATCAGAGTAACTTTTAAAGCATCAGTTCCAACTTCTGTGAGGCATGGAAGCTAGAATTCCAGGACATGGAACTCACAGGCTCAGCTTCGTACTAGACGGATCCAAGGTGCTATGTCTGATTACAAGTCCAGGGGTTATAAATTGCTGCTGGCAAAATACAGTTATGCAGGGAAACCAATGCTGGCTGATGCCAGGGAGCGGGTCGAAGACTCCAGTCACTGTCAGATGACAGGAGCCAGGGCAAGAGCAGCCGAGGTCAAGGTGGTCATCTCCTGAGTCACCTGCACCCACCTCCAGGAAGGGCCTAAAAAGTGGTACAGGTAAGAGCAGAGAGGATCCCCAAGATTCTCATAGTCCCTTCCCCCATGGAACTCCAGGACTTGGTTGCTCCCCATTAGCTCTGGGCCAGAGAGTTTGAATCCTTCATCAACCGGTAAGTCTCATCTCACTGAGAAATTGGTGGGTACAGCACCCCAGGATGAAGAAACAGCTGGAAGGCTAGAGCCTAGAGCTACCAGTTTCTGACTTGCTGTAAATGCATACCATGCTTTATCCTGTCTGTGAGGTGGGAACAGCCAGCATTCATGGATACCTTCCATTTATTTTAAAAATAATCTTGAGTAGCAGATTTTGGAGCTCTGAATGGGTTATAGACTTTAAAAGCACTAGTAGGTGGAGAAGCAAGGATATTTAATTCAGAAAAGGAACTGGGGGTTGGGCTAGTGAGAGAGAGCATGCTTGGGATGCACTGCTCTAGGTACAAAGCCCAGCACTGCAAGAAAAGAAGGAAAATAAGATAAAGAAAAAAGATCCCACACAAACTCTAGGCTGGTGTCCTGGGACATTCCCAAAGATACAATAATAGGCCATGGCTGCTATAATTGGCCAAGGCCACACCGTGTGGGCAGGGCCACTGCAGCAGACTGTCAGCATACACCAAACCCTAGAACATGCAGGATTCTAAGCACTAGCCAAGGGGTGGCTGGAGAGGCCCCGGATCAAAGAAGAAAATGAATGTTTGTGGGGTAATTCTGGCCTCTGCCTGGTGTTTTAGTCAAATCTGTCCTGCTTACATAGAAGTACCCTTTAATCTGAACGCTTTAGTTAAATAGAAGAGCCAAGAGCTTTAATTACATCATATAAAACCTGTGCAGGGACACTGGCCAGACATGCAGGCCCCCCCCCCCCCCCCCCCCCCGCTCCCAGTGCAGCCAAGTCCCTATGACTTAGGCCCACAAGCAAGGCTGTCAAAGGCGGACATTACCTACCCCTGTTGTGACAGAGTCTGGTGGCCTCGGGCCCTAGCAGATTCTCCTGAGAGTCTCACATCCCCACTCACCCCAGTTCCTCTTCAGGAACCTGAGCCATACCCTCTGCCAGACCCTCCTTGCTTTGGCCTCTGAAGCTACCCTCTCTGGTCAAGCTTTACCTCCTCTTTACACTGGCAGTTGCTAGACACCAATGTCTGGCCCTGTCCAAGTCACACTGGATGTCATGTCTGGGTTAATATGGACCCCAGCTGCCTGATGAGGCTCCAGCTTAGCATTCTGCATATCTCCTCAGTGCCTGACCCAGGGGCACCTCCCTCCAGTACTCACCCTACCCCAGGCCCTGCTTGCTGCCCTTAAAACATCACCAGCTCATTCCCCAGTCTCTGATGGATGCTCTCCTAGCCACTGGGGACCAGTGTCATGATTGTGGGGTCCATGTCACAGTGGGAACATGACCCATAAAAAAGATGACAAACATCGATGGTATTAAGTCTGGGATTAACTTGGGTTGACCTGAGGGGTTCCTTGCCCTGCTGCTACGTTCATGGATAGTCCACATTCTACAAACACCCATTTATTCACACATAAAATGAGGGGCCCACAGTTCACAGCCCTGCCCTGTTCCATTACCCCACAGGGTATTGAGGAGGTGAGAGGCCCCAGGCAGGTTCAGGTCACAGCCCACAAACACTCCCCATAATTGCCACTGGGTGGCAGCAGCAAGCAGGGAAGTTTCCTAACAAACCCAGAGTCCTCGTTTCCTAGGTCAGGGGGCAACTCAAGTTGTCCTGAGATGGTGGCATCTTTGAAAGAAGATCACGCTCCTGAATCACACCACCTGTTAGAACCTGCAGGGCCTTGGCATCTTCCAAATGCGCATTCACCACAGGCAGCTCTGAGAGTGAGAGACAGAGGAAGCACAGGGCAGACGGGCCTCAGGATAACCATGTGCTGGCTGCTCACTGCCTGAAGTGTCCCCCAGACTTAGGAACATGAGAACACTGTCTCCACCTGCGCCTCAAGCAAGGGTCAGGCAAATGTAGATGTCTGTCACCAATCACCTGACTCCTCAGGGTAACTACTGGGCTGCTGGGGGTCCTAGAGGAGAAGTGGGGGCCCACAACCAGGCCAGGGACAGACTGGCACCAAGAGGTAAAGTTCCTTTAAACCTGTCTCAAAGGTTCTAAAAACAGGGCTTCTCTCTTCTGAAAAGAAGACAGTATGGAGAAGGGGTACCTGCTAGAAGTCTGGGCTCCCAGGCCAACTGTGTGAAAGCCAGGAAGGCTGGTGGGCACATGCAGGTTCTTGATGGAAGGAATGGGAATGGATTCCTTTTTAATGGGTTGTTGAGACAGGGTCTCTGTGGGCTGGGCGGTGTCTCCACTTCCCAAGTGCTAGAATAGGCGGGTGTCACCATGCCTGACTTCTGAGAATTCTCTTTCTCTAGGGAGCGGATGTTTACTCCTGTCCAGAAACAATCTGGATGTCTAGATCAAGAGGTAAGACCACATCTTCCTTCCTGAATCCAGGTCCAAGGACTTCCCCTGCAAGGAGAATCCAGGCTCAGGTAGAGCAGCAAGTCAGGCCTCTGGAGGAAGGACAGGCAGTGAGCGCTCCCAAAGAATCCTATTCTCTGTGACGAAGTATGC